TACACTAAGAACTATTCAGTAAGTTGGTTTAACATGAAGTCAACCAATGAAGAAATAAAATCTATGCAAGGAATTTGTAGCTGAGTGGTAGAATATTTGCCTATTATCTGTGAAGGGTCCTTGATAAATCTCCTGCAAAATTGGAAACAGACCAAAAATTTAAAAACATAATACATGAAGGACAATAAAGCACAGGGATTGGGGCAAGGTAAGTGGTTTACTTCCAAAATAGAAGTAGCAGCACATGATTTTGGTGGTACGTACTTGGAATCCAAACTTCCATTTCTTTGGTGGTTCAAATGTTCAAGACCAGTCAGCTAAAAAAAGCACAACAAATAAACAGGAGGAGGAGGAGGGACCATGAGAGAAGGAAAAAATAGAGATCTGAAACAAATTAAACTTCATCTGGATGGTGGAAAGAAGTCTGTCAACTATATTGTTTTCTTTAAAATAAGTTTCTAGCCTTTCTACCATATGAGGGACACAGCAAAAAGTGAGCACATTAAACCTGGTGAAGCTGACCTCTCTGTATCTTGAATTTTCTAGGTTCTAGATCTTGTCCTTCAGAATGTCTGTTTACTACAAATACCTTGCTCTAAGCCATTGGGACCTGGAGTTTTGTTATAGCATCACAATGGCATTGAAACACCCAGATATAACTCTTTCTCTAAAGGAAGTACTCTTTCTCTAGCTGTAGGAAAGACTGATGGATTTGGCAGTCGGAGAATTCAAGCTGAGGACCTCCAATTTGCTAGGAAGGGGTTCAACCACATAAGCCCCTACTCCATCCCTTGTCCTTCACTTTGAACATATCAACACAATAACTTATGGATTTCAAGGTTTCTGCTGTAAACTATCTGATAAGAAACTATCATGGGGTATGATGATGCTCTCTTTTCTCTCACTCTTATAGATGTTAGTAACCCACTCCATGGTGCTGTATGGATAGGGAATTTTGCTACATTATCAGAAGATTCTGAAATGATACCACTATTTTTTTTTTATACCAGTCACTCCAGGTATAAAAAAAAGTCCTTGAATATCTTGAGTAAATTGAAGAGGTTTTTAAAAGCCAAAAGTTAGAGGAGCTTTTCAGATTATGAATGCCATGTAGCATCCTACTGGATTTAATTTATAAGTAAGAAAACAGCAGCTTCCATGACCCACCTAAGCCAAAAACTTTCTTGGTCTTAGTTTCTTTGCATTTTAATGTAAATGAAAAAAGTGCCAGTTTATTGATGTATAAGAGGACTCTTAGCATTACATATTTAAATAGTTGTCAAAATTCACTGAGTTGAATAGAAAACATGCTTAATTTATATTAAAGTAGTAATGTGTTGTCATTAATACATGGATGTATGTATTAGTAAATACTGAAAAGGAAAAACTTATTTCTACAGAGGATTCATCTTGGCAATAGTCATTTTATAGGAGGCTAATACTACCTACCTTCAAAATATCTGGATCCACTTTAGTGAAAGTTTCCCAGTTGGGACACTGTCATGCACCCCTTTCTCCTAGAAATACATAGGAATCTACTTTGTTATTTGAGTGTTGGAGCAAGCTCCAAAACCTACACATGTGGTGAATGGAAGCCACTGGTGGGTATATGTTTGGTTCTTGCATATGGCCAGGGATCTAGCAGGATCAGGCCTAAGGGAAATGGGTTGTACTCAAGGACAAAGTCTACTGGCTGATGTCCCCCTGGGAGCAAACACTAGGACCTGGCAGCCACCAAGGACAGAAGGCATTGGCTGATTCCCTTGTACTTCTTGCAACACTGCCATGGCAGCAGCAGTGGCATCCTATTCTACCCTCGCATCCCTGTGGAAACCTTGTCAGTAGTCCTCCAGGCTCAAGACCAAAAGAGCCAGTCGGCTCATGCCAAGCTGTGATTGGTCTATTGAAGCCATTGTGAACAGTCTCTGCAATCTATTACAGTGCTGGAAGTTCCTGGTGACCTGCTTGACTCAGTGCTACGTTGACAATCGTGTGTGTATGTGTGTGTGTGTGTGTGTGTGTGTGTGCGTGTGCGCGTACTTTTTTGGGGGCAGTGGGAACTTTGTGTTGTTTGGGTTTGGGTATTTCCTTTTGGTTATTGCTCTGGGGTTTTTATTTTCTTAGGCAAGTTTAGGTAGATTTACTCTTTGCCATCCTAGCAGAAAGATGGGAGAACACAGTGAATTATCCTCAAACTCTTTAGAGGAGGAGACCTTAATTGAGCAATACATTATGAAGAAGATCATTGGCTATGGCAGGATGAGATTTTCATTGAATAATACAGTGTGAATGCAATCATTGGCTATGGACGGAAGAGGTTTTCACTGAACAATACAGTATGAAGGAGATCATTTGCTATGGTAGCTATCCAAATGTAAATTTGACCTAGCACCACCTCATAAACCTCAAGATGGTAGTGAAGGGAGAGTTTCGCTTGTCAGATCAAAATTGAGATGGATATTATTAAGACTTTCCATTACAGACACATGATCAGGTCGTACCAGGTGAGGGAGAAGGATGAGCACCAATACTTGGTAATGGAACTGGCCACCCAGAGACCTCCTGAGATAAATGTGAAAATCATACCGCCTATTCAATAATTAGGTTGTTCAAACAGACTGTGTGTACTGTGCATTACTTTAACAAAAATAGAAATGCACACTGAGACCTGAAAACCCAATAGCATCCTGTTGGATGACAAATGCAATGTGAAGGTCAATGACTGTGGTTGCTTAAGGACATATTTGGGTACCTTGATTTTGTCCCTATAAAATATTCCTGCAGGGCTGGGAAGGTGGGCTTAGTGGTAGAGCGCTTGCCTTGCATGCATGAGGCCCTGGATTCAATTCCTCATCACCACATAAGCAGAAAAAAAAGCTGGAAGTGCACTGTGACTCAAGTGGTAGAGTGCTAGCCTTTAGCTGAAGAGCTGAGGAACAGAGCCCAGGTCCAGAGTTCAGACCCCACGATTGGACCCCCCCAAAATATTCCTGCATGAAAACCACAATGGCTGCAAAGTAGACATCTGGTGCTTGGGAGTCATCTTTTGTATTTTATGGAGATGGCAAATTTCCCATTTGAATATATGAATTTTAGCCAGATACAGATAATTGTCTTGGAGGTCACGTATATTGCTCCATTCCACCTGTCTCCAAAAGGACAAAACATCATCTTGAAACTGTAAACTGCAGACTCAAAGCATAGGCAGAGTATAGAACAAATAATGGAGACTAGCTCAACCAAGTCGAGGAATATTTCTTTTTTTTTTTTTTTTTTTCATCCTGAGGTTTTAATCCATGAGTGTTTCTTTCAAACTGTTTAATTTATTAAAAGAATTTTGTACAAAAAGAAACTAAGAAAAAGGATCTAAGTATACTGAAAATTGCATATTGCCCTTTTTCTTCATTTTTCATATAAAAGATGTTATTTAGCGGGTTCTGCTCTTCATTTTCTCTCTTGTTCGTTTTCCAGGTCTCTTATTCGCTCCTTTCTCTCCCAGGCCTTTTGAGGCCCTTGCCATGAGCCTACCTTGGCCCGGAAGCTGGATACATCCATCGTAGCTTTCTCGAGTATTCCATTTGGTACCCTTTCTTCTTTCCACCAAACCAAACTTTTGGTTTTTATACCGTCGTTTAGCACTGGGGCCCCCTTCTTCATGTTCTGGCCTTTAGCTCCTGCCTTCTTCATGTTCTGGCCTTTAGCTCCTGCCTTTGTGGCCTTTGTGGCCTTTGTGGCCTGTGCAACAGGTTTCTCATCTCCCTCAAGAAAATCCAGTTTATCAGAGAAGCCTTTTTGGTACTTCTTGATGGCATTCATCATATGTGATTTCTCCTGCTGCCTCTTCTGAAGAACCTGTGTTTGCACCCTCTTTCCATATTTCCTAAGTGCTCTCAGTTGCTTAGCTTTTTCAGACTTCTCCATGGCAGCCTGTTTAGCTTGTAGCTTCTGTCGAATCTTTTGCATGTGCTGATCAGTCTTGGCCATTTCTGCAAAATAATCGGTGGGACGCTTGGTAGGGATGTGGAGCTGATGGAGCCGTGGTAATACTGCCAGTACAGCAGCCTGGGCCTGGCGGTAGAAACTCATTTCTCTTTGGAAGTCGTCTTCTGGGTTCACAGCTTTCTTCTGGTCCTTATTCTGCTGAGGAGTTGGCTGAGGTTCACTGATTTCGGGCACCGGTCCGAGGGTCACATCCAGCCTTTCAACCCAATCTAGATCCCGCTTGAATTCATCCAAACACTGCTTCAGTCCATTCACGTTGTTCACGGCCTTCTTCGGCCCCTCTAGCATGACATTGAGGCCTGGCTTCAGAAGTCCGCGGGAAAATGCATCCTGCAACTCTCGGTCCGTGACCACGGAGTCCTCAGAGTCCGAGCCGGAGCCCGAGGGCGGGGGAGTGTCCATCACCGCCCGCCGGCCGGAGCGGGGGTGGCGGAGGTCCGCGCCGCTAGCTGGGGATGACCCTCCTCGCCGGTGCTGCCCTCAGCGTCTCACGACCGCCCGCCGCGGCCCCACGTGCGCCCGCGCCACACCAGCCCTGACAACTACCAGCTCCGGCTCCCGAGGAATATTTCTTATATCCTGATGAACCACTATGTAATGAGCTGAACCCTATTATTCTTGCACTCATGTGTGACATGAGTTACAGCCTGCTTGATACCCACAAATCAATATTGGACAGGACATTCAATGAAATCATGGCCATTTATTTTTTTTTATTAAAAATGACTTAAACTAGAATGCCAGCAGCAAAATTAAGTCAATGCCTACAATTGTTCCAGTATGCCCATCTCATGTAGAAATTTACACCTTTCCTGTTCCTCTACAATGGAAAACCTGACTTCCTGCCTGTCATTGGAATTTCAATTGTCCTATGATGACAAACCAACAATACTGAAGAGAAGTGCCACTCTTCCTTCCATTCTCCTCTGCTTCCTGCAGAAGAACTCCTGTTCCAGTATGATCACACACCATGAATCTATGGTTTCGTTTAGTTCCTCTTTCTTCCTGAGGAACAATGGGAGATGCTGGTAAGAGGACAAAGTCCTTCCCTTTGGATAGTTGGACAATAAGATTACAAATTCTATCTCAAATAAGAGACAGGATTGGAGGAGAGTTGCTAGCAGTATAACTACCACTATTTGCAGAATATGATGCTGTGTGCAGGCCTAAAAATAACATTCACAGATTACAAAGAAAGTTTTTTCAAGAGAAAGGATTCAGAGCCCTTCCATAATAAAACAACAGTACCCAGGTCTTCAATTCAATTTCACACTGGGGAATTCCAGCTTGAATCCTTATCTACAGACTTGGACAGTTCATCTAACAATCATTCATCATTTTGGATGACATGGACAATACCCATTGTCCAAGTAGGTGTTTTAGTACTTTAAATATTGGAGAAAAAAGGTCTAGGATGTATCAAAAATAAGGTTTTCATTTTGGTGGAAGATTTACCTTTTTAGACTACAACCCACATAATATTTAAAGAAAGGATGGATATGGGAGGAAATCTTTCAGTTCTTCGTTTTTTTCAAGTTTACTTATTGAATCTTTCAGTTACTGAACCTGGCTTAATTTGTGAGGTATACACACACATACACACAAACACACACACATGCACATATATATATGTCGGGTCTTCATCTGTCCCGCGAAAGAGGGACGGAGTCCGAGGAAAGGTAAGTGCGGCCTCTCACCCGTTCCTCATCCTCCCTCAGCCCTGGAGACAATCAGATGCAGCAGGGAGTTGTCAAGCAGGAAAACTCATTTATTAACACAGAGCAAGCCATTTTAAAGCAAAAAAAGAGTGGGTGGCATGGCAGGGGAGGAAGAGGAACAAGTCACTGTCAAGGTCACACCCTATCATGCACCTAAGCTTCCACGGGCTGTTTACACACTGAACATAAAGCAAATTGGACTCTGCCCACTCAACTCCCTCTCAGCGCCATCTTTGCTGCCCATGTGCTCTACAGATTCCCCCTTTTTTGTTTTAATGCAGACCCACCTCCCAGTTAGTTATCCTTTCCCCTCCACTGTAAAGGTTATTTTAACAGGATTACATTGGTAAGGATAGCATTGGCTATGCAGGGGGTTCAAGGCAAGTCTGGGGGGCGAGATTTGCCAGATAAGGATAGGGAGGGCCCTTGTGCATGATCTAAGGGCCCATCCCAGTTACCTCACATCCCCACCTAGCACAGTAATAAACAGTCCCATCACAGAAATGTCCGAAGCAGTTCAATTAATTCCTGGGCATATATAAAAGTCAGTATCTCGTAAGGTCATCCTCTTCAGAATATGGGAGCAGCTTGGGTATTGGGAGTTCCACACATGCGGCATGGTGCATCCTCGTGGGACCCCACACTCAGGCCATTCTACTATAGTCCAGAAAAACAAGGAAAATTTAAAACAAATTCTGCAGACATAGCAAAGCAATCCTGGGCAACTGGTGTCTTTTAAGTAAGACAGTTCCTTGTACGTACCTTTAAGCAAGCACAGGGGTCAAAATGACATTTGAGCTTTACTGTCAGCTCCCAAAGGCTCCCAACATCTCCCCAGTCTTTGTTTAAAGAAGCGAACCCACCTGTCTTAGGTTGGGTGGACCACCTTTTCTGCCTTACCCGTCATTGGGAACTTCTTCAAAGCGAAGCTGAAGGCCCTGTCTTAGGTTGGTCAGACTGACACCCCCTCTTATCCATCTCTGGCTGCGATTCCTCTCGGGGAAATTTATTCACTTGGAGCTTGATCTTATGTAACTGGCTGGCTAAGCTCATTAGAGTTTTGCAAGGAAGTCATAGAAAAACCATCAGCAAAAGCATTACCAGGCCAAAAAATGTCATTAGCAGTCCTTTTACATTAGTCAAGGATGGGATAGCAGTCTTTGCCACTTCAGAGTCCAGAGGGGGTGTTTGTTCTAATCCAGCTATTTGCCTGTGGGGTTGAAAAAGATCTAAACTGGAAGCATAACAAAAAGTGGTTGTTTAGCAATAAGTATGGATTCAATAATGCTGGTATACGAGCAATTAGTAAAAGAACAATTACAGCAGGTAACATTAAAATAATTGGCTCCTACAGAAATATTAAACAGTCGATACATAATGACATAGGGTGGTGATCAAAATGAAGGTCAGGCCACCAGGTCGAAGGGACAGCTTCTCTTGTGGTGGTATTGATGATTTCTGCATTGCCAGTGCTGATCATTGCCCAGGTCACCCATTGAGGTTGATGCAGATTCCATAGGGCCACTGCCAAGACTGGGAGGGTTAGGACAGCCAACAGCTGGAGTATCAACACCTGCAATTGTTAGAGAACACAAGAGCTTCTCAAGGGCTGGTTGCCCTTGGGGATGGTTAGTAGTTATCTTTCTGGCTTTTCTCTTTTAAACACAAGCCTCAGCCACCATAGCCATTTTTCTTTCCTTGTTGGTTAGCTTATCCTTAGGCATCCTACTGTATAGAGGAGATTGGTAAAAACTTAAGGTTCCTGGCAGGGATCCAAATGGGGGCTGTCTCCCCTATGGGAAAAATGAATCCAAATCCCCTGCCCATAGTAACTAGGGGGTCAGGTCTTCTCCATTTTTGTGTCAGGGGGTCCTTCCACCTGACTTTCACTTGGGGCTTAGAGTTTAGTTGTCCCCATTGCTTCCATAATCTGGATTCAGTTGCCCCTTTTGAAAAATTTAAAATGTTAATCGTAAGCAAAACTATCTGTAACTGTATATGGGGACTAACTCCCCCTTTTTGTTTTAATAATTGCTCCTTAAGACATTGGTGATTTCTTTCTATAATTGCTTGGCCTTGGGGATTATAAGGAATTCCTGTAGTATTTAATGTGCCATTTGTCAAAAAACTCGGACATTGCTTAACTAACAAAAGAGGGTCCATTATGGGTTTTAACTTGTGCTGGTAGACCCAAGGTGGCAAAGCATTGAAGAAAATGTGCTTATGAATGTTTAGTTCTTTCTCCTGTATATGATGTGGCCCACCATGCTCCTGAGTAGAATCTATAGAGACAAAGATATATTTAAACTTGCCAAAAGCTAGGAAATGAGTAACATCCATTTGCCAGAGGATGTTAGGTTTAAGGCCTCTGGGATTTACCCCTGGTGGTTGTAATGGGGGTACTTTTAAGAAGGGCTGGCATGTTTTACAGGTATGTAATATCCTTTTGAGTTTACAAGAATCTGAGGAGATCTATGCTGAACACCTCTCCAATTAATGTGGGTTAAATCATGCAAACAGGTAGCCTCTTGTAACATTAATACTTGCATGCAAGTCGCTAACTGGTCTGCCCAATTATTACCTAGGGATAAAAACCCAGGAAGTTTTGAATGCCCTCTCAATTGCTGAATATGAATAGGGGCTCCCGCCCTTCTAATAGGCCTTTAAGGATAACCATAAGAGGGGAAATATTGTTTTCATCCAGCTTACTATGTGCCTGGGGAATATGAGGAAGCAAGTTAATCATATATAGGCTATCAAAATACAAATTAAAGGGTTTTTGAATGTCCTGAAGAGCCATAATTATGGCCTGCATTTCTTTATATTGTGCTGACCCTTGACAAGGTTGAAATCTTTGTTGGCTCGGGGTCTTTTGTTGCTCCTCAAAGGCTGCATATGCAGAGCCTGCTTTACCTCCATCAGTAAAAACATGGAGGGCTACAAGTTTAGGTTTGGTCAGTGGCCACTGCTCCACCCAGATAGGGCTTCTGGGCTTCTGGGGACAGTGGCCTTTAGGATTGGGGGTGCACCGAGCGGGTCCCCTTTGTTCTTCTCTGTAATTATGAAAGTTAAAAAAATCCTTTTCCTTAACTCCCTCTAGATCCTGTTTAAGCCTTTGTGCTTCTTCTCCATCCAGGATATCATCATAGGCTGCTCAATGGTCTGTAGTGACCACGACTTCCATTTGTCTTAGCATGTCTTGCCCTAGTAAATTGGCAGTGAGGTTTTTTGCCACTAAAGGGCATATCTTTCCCTGTTCTCCATCTGGGCTAGTCCATTTCATAAGGGTGACTGTCTCTTTGGACTGGGAGTTGCCCCCTACCCCCCCAATATCGGGGGCCCATGTGCAAGCTTAAAGTCCAAGGGTACTTCCTCCTCCCTGAGTATGGTTTGATCTGCCCCCGTGTCAATTAAACAGTGAAACCACTTTCTGCCTATGAGAATACTCATTTTAGGGTGGATTCCTTCTACCAGGGGGACGGTCCAATGGACCTCGGTCACCCAGCCACGAGGCTGCCTGGGCCTCACAGCAGAGGGGGTTCCTCCTTGAGTTAACGGGGCTGGAGGATGCCCCTCCCCTAGTTTAAACGCTTCCCATTTACAAAAAATTTGGATCAATAATCCTTTTTCCAATGGTACCCCTTCCTGCACCTGGGGGAGGGTGTAGGGGGCGGTTTGGACCACCCAGGCCGGTTGTCGGAGGGATTGTTGTGAATAGTCCCTC